CATATAACCTAAAGATGTTCCGAGTATGAATCAGGCACCTTTGAGGTTCCCGAAGGGGTAAACTGTCGTATTATAAATTGCTATTGACTGATTTAGATATTTCATGTCTGACCAACGACTACCGTTAATGTTTGCGTATAGTACGCACTTTTTTAAGGGGAAAATGAAGTGTTAAGAAAGGGGTGTACACGATACTCAAGAACAATCCAAAACCAGTCCTTGGTCGCGACCATTTCTCGTAAATTTTTCGAGGATTTTCGGAAATGCTTTGATATATGCTAACAGCAATGCAACTGCTAAATTTCGTTGAATAATCCCTGATTGCATTGCCAATTTAACAATTACGAAAAGTTGCAAGTTTAAGTCATATAATACTATAGAATCGGATAAATAAACTCTAGGAAAGTAGGCTCAACTTTTCAGGACGTTACGTTGTGAATTGATAAATACCACGTATCGGGAAACATAACGAAGAATTGCATCGGATTTATTACTCTGTGGTTAAAATGTCGTTCTTGGGTAAAATCTTGCTGAACTCTTCAATCTTGTCCGTAGGAATGTGTCAAAACGACACGGGTAAAGTGGCGAATTTAGCAAGTTTGTGTAGGTCGCAAAGAGTCGAAGTTGCGTGATACTATTAACCGGCAGGAATTTACAAAATGACATCAATGCGAATTGAACCGATAATGATAAAAGTTTGAGTTTGAAAATTAAATATCAGCGGGTTCAAAACAGCCAAATACATTCCCATCTTTTCTTTTCGAAGGAGAATTGCTGATATCACAATTGTTTGGTGTTCTTCATGTCTTGCGAATTCGGCTGTTGGCGGTCCTCTTCGGAGTGACTGCCTTTAAGCGTACAGTACACATTTTGCCGATATCGATGACCGATTCAGTCGGATTTGCAGACGACCGGAAAACTACTTGGAAAAGTGTATTTCATAACAAAAAATAGTAGAAGATTGACTCTTTTCTGAAACTTATTGTTGTGAAAACAACATCGTTATATTCCAATTACCTGTTCTGCCCATGCCAGGTGACCGTGTCAGCGCGCAGATCTCCCCGTATTCGAGGTGTCGGTCAACGCTAACGTTATATTTGTGACATGCTTTCCTATTAATTCCCTGTGTTGCCATGGCTACCTGAACAGCATGTATGTATTGACACCTGGTAATTGTTTACTATTTTGATTGACAGGTGGAAATATATCCGTTGTAGCTCAATGATTTATCGGAAAATGATCATACAGAATGATGGGGTGACTTTCATGTCATTCTGACATATTTCTAGTTTAAGTATAGAATAAGATAGACAGTCTATGCCCGCGGATGTGTTTTTCTTGGTTTTTAGCGCGTTTGCATATTCATCTAAAGAGAACGGTATGTTAAGATTTGTGTTAGTATCTTCTGTTTCGTTAAGATATTCCCTAATTCCATTTATGTCTTTATTTTTATTATCTATGAATTCGTCTGTACAGTTTTGGTTACTGCTAGCTTTTTGGAATTGTTTAGCTAGTAAATTGGCTTTCTCTAAATTTGTTTTTCCTTCCGCGTTTTTCCCTAATATTGGAATTTCTTTGGGTGGTATTCCCTGTATTGCTTTGATTTTGTTCCATACTGTTTTAGTATTAGTTTTATTGTTAAGTGAACTACAAAATTCTATCCAGTGGATTTCTTTATGTTTTTTACAAGTTCTGTTGAATTTATTTTTAGCTATTTTGTAATTTTCGAAGTTTTGTTCTGTTGGATTTTTCTTACATATTTTTTCCCATCTACGTTTTATTCTCTTAGTTATGGCGCAACTTTCATTCCACCAGGGATTTTGTTTCACCCCTATTTATACTCTCTCAAGTGTTGCATTGTGGGTAAAATTAAAAAATAAGACAATCGCTAGTTTACAACATTTTATTACATAAAGCAAAGATACCTCATATGAACAATAAAGAACCTACTCTAAAATGAACAATATACACATTTAAATTACTCAGTGTCATCTACAACCCGATTTGTAGTACTAGGCGATCTGTGCACGCTCTTTCCTGCAATCGGGGTCCTGAAAAGGGATCTTTCTTGGGTAGTTCTCACTCCTATTCTGGTATCCTCCAGTGTCCGTTGGCCAAACTCGATATTCCATTTTGTAGGAGATGCCTCTTGTCTTCGAACGGTGACAGGCCCCTTTTGGTCATGGATATATTGTAGATTTGATGCTTATAACTTCTGATCTGATTTATTTGAGACATAACGACTTTTTTTAGAAAAAAGACAGTCCTTGTAATGCTCGAAACGTGTATGGTTTTCGATCACATATTTTTTAATGCCCTTTGCCTTCTTTGATTATACGTAAGTTTCCACCTCTTTGCCATCTTTCTCTTCCGTGACGTCATGGGTATACGCATACATTTTAGCCTTAAGTCCCACAAAGGCATGAATAGCGTTCCATGGGTCTCGTCCTTCATTTTCCCCAACTCTTCTTATACTCCGATGTGTCTAATAAGTGTCGGTCTTCTAGCATGTCTTTATACAAGTCCTCTGTTCTGATGATGTAGGCTAGAGAGTCTGTGTCTGTAAAAAGGAGGGTTGCCCTATCTCCAAATTTTGTTTTGATGTAGTTGTAATGGAAGTCATACATCAATGTTTTGGAGATGTCGAGAATACTGAATCCGACATAGATGGGTCGGTTCAAATAAAGTTTCGATTTAAGCATGTGGACAGCTACCAAATCCTCTGTAAATATCCTGAATTCGTGAAATATGGGCTTACATGTTAATTTCATGGCCTTCTCCCCCCTGCTGATTAAATATATGTTTCTTCAAATGTTCGCGGTATTTGTCAGTCCTCCAGGAAGATTTCCCACAACAGGTATTTGTGGGTTCCCCATGTAACTTCATGTGCCTTGTAAGCCTATCTTTCCTTCCGAACTCCTTTTGGCACACATTACATGTCCATCGTTGACTTCCATGACTAGATGTATGTTTATTCAATGTCTTCTTGTGTTCAAACGTTTTATCACAATGGGGACAGGACCATTTACCCTTCTTATCCGGGTGTGCAATACTGACTTAGGTCTTCCTCTTCGACATGCTGGAATGTATCGCGGTGTTCTGTAGAGCTACTATTACAATAGTCACACTGACAAGATCAATGATTTTTGCTTGATTCTGTGCCTCTATTTATACCCTCTGTAACCATCGATGACATTCGTGTAATTTGATTGGCTAATCGAAATTTTACAGAATTATTTTGTAATTTTTGTTTCATTTGTAATTTTATTTTGATGGTGATCGGACGCATTTTAATTTCTCCCAAATCTATCGGGACCTGAAACGTTTTAATATTTGTTTTTATTTATGTTGCTGATTGCGAGCCTCGAACACTAAATGTTGCGACACTGAAGCTTATATACCACCGCCCTATCCGTCACGACCTAACGCGCCCGACAGTGAAGGTGTATTTACACAGCGAGGTTAAATTTAGAACCTGCGTCATACGATACACATATAGATGTTTGTTTACACATACTTTATACCTCCGCATACAGGTTTGCAGATTAACGAATTATACCGAGATAGTAAAACGGTAAACTATTATAATGTATAAGAGAAATTGTGTACGCTGTAATGTATACAACACGATATTTGTTAAAAAATTGTCTGTCCGTTGGTAGCGTATTTAAATGTGGGATATATTTACACATACAGTGAGAGTAATTGACATACACATAAAGAACGTAGGCTATACATTATTGGAAATGCTATAATACAGTTTTGTATGCGTGGAAAATGACCTAGTGTGTATGGTTTTTATACAACGGAGTCAGACATAAACAAACAGCAGGAGCTATCTGTGGATATTCGTTGTAAGAACGGGCGTTGGGTGGCTCTGTTTTATCGACGGAGACAATAAATGGTTGTACATAGATTCGAGAACATCACCGATCCGGTTGAAACCGGTTTGAGTATTTATAAACGTGATGCAATCGGACCGCTACAAATAGATGCAGTCAGGAAAAACCAAAATACATGAGAACACCCTATGACATCATCGATCGGTATCCCCTCGTATATAGGTTGTCCCTATACATAGATGCAGTCAGGGAAAACCCAAATACATGAGAACCCCCGTGACGTCATCGATCGGTACCCCCCTGCCGAAGGGGGTGCCACTAGGGGGGTGCCAGGGAGGTGGTAAGGATTATATAGGGGAGTGCACCGGATGACCCTACGCCAGAAACGGTACTTTTGTACTATTACTGATAATGCTACCCAAGTTTGAATTAATTCCAATGGAAATGAAACAAATGCTGTCCAAAATGTGATTTCCCTATATAAACTATAGTAAAGTTTACCCCCTCCCCAGGGGGAAACGCGAGACCCCAAGGTCATGAAATTCACAATTTCGGTAAAACACATTAAGACCCTTCCATCTATGAAGAGTATTTGATTCTACCATATCTGGATCTTGAGAAGAAGATTTTTGAAATTTTAGTCAATTTGACCCTTTCTGGCCACGCTCATGAGCCCCTGGGGGTCAGTCAGTGCTAATTTGTGCATATCATCAAACTGCTATCCAATACTGATAATGCTAACCAAGTTTGAATTAATACCAATGGAAATGAAACAAATGCTGGTCCAAAATGTGATTTCCCTATATAAACTATAGTAAAGTTTCCCCCCCCCCCCCCCCTTCCCCATCTATGAGGAGTATTTGACTAACGAATTGTGGTTGACCTTTGGCCATGGAAGGTTTCAGCAAAATTTCATCGAAATTGGTTCAGGGGTTTTGGAGAAGAAGTCGAAAATTGTTTACGGACGCACGACGCACGACGGACGACGCACGACGCACGACGCCGGACAAAAGGCGATCGCAATAGGTCACTTGAGACTTTGTCTCAGGTGACCTAAAAACAAATGAGTAAGCAAGGAGGGACCCGAGATAGAAGCATGTATTTGAGATATTTTCTCGATTGGCATATGANCCCCCCCACCGATCCCCAAATCGAACAGATAACAAAACAAACAACAACTTCCTATATATAGCAGTGGGTGTCGTAGTGACAGGAAACCCTGGCCCTTGATATCAAACCAGACTACAGTTTACAGAGACAGCAACGTAAGCACAAGGAAGTTTGCCGGTACGCGGTAATCTATACGTTTTTGTGTCATTTTCGAAGCTGGCAGAGCGACAACCAGGTAGGTACAACTGTAATTCACCTTCAAATGTACGACCAATTACACCCAAGTTAGTTTTTATTAGGGCTTTTCACCAACTGGTGAAAAGCCCTATTGTTTTTGTTATGTTTCTTCTTCTTCTTCTTATTATTATTCTTCTCCCCTAATTTGTGAATTCTGTATCTTTTGATTGGTAAAAGATAGGTTTGTAGTCTTTTTGGTATGTTGTAGGAAAAGGTCTGAAGATGATCAAGCAACATTTTGAAGTAGGTTAAAAATCCAATATGGCCGCCATGACGTCATATGTTAAAATCTTTGAAACCGCTATAACTCGAAAAGCGTTGATTGTACAGAATTTATGAAAGTATGCTATTTGTAGATAATTTCATATCTTAATTTGATTTAAAAAAATTCTTCTACAGATCAAAGGAGAATGCCATTCCGATGAATTTGATGTCTTTAGTTTTTCTGTAGCATTTATCGTTAACGTCCTATGGCGTGTTCATTATTGATCTTTTTGAAAAGCCGACACTATTTTTACAAACTTCCACGATCTTCTTCTCCAATTCTGCTATGGCAATATTAACCACAATTGGTACATATATTCCTCTAGGGGCCCTTACGAACTTATGTTACCTTTGGAGCAATTAATATTCCAACATGGTCGCCACGAACTCTGATTGGTTAACAGCCTATACCAATATATTTCGTTAACGATATCAAACACGAGGTTCATCTTTGGATATCATATGGAGATAAGCAAGAGAAAACTTTTTCTTTCATACTGTTTTTACAAAAAATGTTAACTTCCGGTTTTCGCTAGGGGCAAAGTTAAAATGCAAAATATTGGGTACCAACCTTAACAAATCTTCTACTTAAGTTCCACAAGGTGTAGAGTCTTGATATTTAATATTAAAGATTCTGAGATGTCGGGGTATCAGGTTTGAAAAAATGGTTGAGATTGATCAACTATCCAGGTCACAATCAAGGTCAAAAACTTCATATGTGCTATTTCAAGATAATGACTTCAAAAAACTTCTTATAAAGTTCTACAAGGTCTAGAGTCCTACTATTTCATACCTAACATGGTCACATGATTGACTATCAAATTTGAAAACATGATTGTCCTTGAATGACTTTCAAGGTCACAGAGGTCATATATGTAAAAATATTGAAACCACTTTTTCTGAATAACCAATAATTCCAGGGTAACGATGTTTGACAAAGAAGCATGCTTGAATGAAGGGCTTTAAAGTGTGTGCAAATGAACGACCTTGACCTACTCTAAATATAATTTCAAAGGTGAAAGTCAAAAACCGTTTTCATTTTTGTGCGATTGTCAAGTGCTTTTAATACTCTCAGTACTTTGATTTATATCAAGACATCTAATACACGCTGGTAATACTACATCGATTACTACGCACTCCCAATCTTAAAAATGTGGACAGTTTACACCTCTATTGCAGTGGGTAAACATCAGCCTTTCTTTGGCGTGGCAAACCCAACCGATCTAGACACAAAGATAGTTTCAATAAATCGTCCTGACGTACATAGTGCACGGACTATATGACGACATTTACGGACTACATTCGTTACAACTAAGGTCATTGGCTGCCTATATTATCCAGTCTTTCTCTGACGTCATTTCGCACTCCGGGAATCCCCCACTACTCAATCATTTACTGTAGACTTGCACAGGTTATTAATAGAATGCCAAATCAGTCCTTACAGTGAAAAGTCCGTCAAATTATTAGCCAACAATTTCTAGTTATAGTTATATTTATTGCCAATAACGCCTTAGATGGTTTTTATTATTCGTTATTAGGGTTGTCAAATCGGTCAAATTTTGTTAACAACAAACACATTATATGTTTAGTAAATGTTTTATTTTTACACCACAAATATGCATGTATATATTAATGAGCATACAGTGTAGTTTACGCACGTATTTCAAGCTTCAAGCAGGAAATATTTATTTCCTGAGCTTCAGCTCGAACTATTTAAAAACTGCTTTGTTCCCATATCAAACCTCATTGATGGGCGACGATTCCGTCCTCGTTCCGGATTGTAATAAGTGTTTCTTTGTACCAGTGCAAATAGTTGGCCTTGTGCACGCCACTAATACTACCAGTGTTTACAAAGTGTAACTTCCGATTGCATTGCTTGTACCAATTGGCGAGTACAATATCATGTGTTCATCCTTTGGCATAGCAAGTCCTCTACCATCTAGTGCATCTGGATCGCACAGAGGTCGAAGATATAACCCAACATCGTTTTCTCTAACAATGTATTTTTTTGTATCGTTTTCACTCATGGGTCCCTTCACGTACCGCCTACAGTAACAAGCACCATGTATGTTGTTTTCGTCTCTTTGTACATTGTGGTACTTGCGTACCCGATAAATGACTAGTTGGACTCAAGGCCGCCCCATGATCATGGGCAGCTCCGACCAAATTTGCAGTGAAGGCCCAAATATACATCCTGTATTCCCCTCAGTCAACACTAAATTTGTTAGAAATACAGGTACCAGTTCTTCTGGTAATTGATAAACACACAGTATAATCAACTCCAATCCAGTTTGCAACACTGTGTTCCACACAAGCCCTATCCATTTTCTGAACACTTATCAAAAAAAAAAACATGAACCCACAAAATAAGCACAATTTGATCCTTCTTTATCTTTTCATCCTCCTTCTTAATCAGCCATCGGACATCAACCCCAATCCGGGCCCTCTACACAATAACACCAGATATGACTGTGGATATTGTGACCAGGAAGTCATTTGGATTGATAAGGGTATCCAATGCGGAAACGAGCACTGCCCCCGGTGGTTCCACATATCCTGCCAAGGTATGGGCACAGACACTAACAATATGCTGTCTGATAGCTGTAATACCTGGCACTGTCTAAAGTGCTCCTTTCCAAATTACTCAAAATGCTCAAATATTAGTGACCGTCCCCAAGCCACCTCCTCGCCTAACCCACCAAGGTCCAAAAAACCCGACAAACAGAACTCAACGACTCACCATTGTGAACATTCACTGCCAATATATTAAAAACAAAATTCCAGAATTGCAATGATCAAGTAAATCCTGATATCATTGTAGGCACTGAATCATGGTTAAATAAAGAAATCCAAACTGCCAAAATATTCCCTCCAAATTTATTAAATATTTACAGAAACGACAGAAAAAAGGGAGGGGTGGTTTTTTTAGCTATCTCACAAAATCTCATTTCGGAGGATAGGCTAGAATTAACCACAAATTGTGAAATAACCTGGGCAAAAATTAACATCGTAGGTATGAAATCCATTTACATTGCTTCATATTGCAAACCACAAGAGACCGACATGGAAAGCCTTATCCAACTTTAGAAATCTGTACAAAAGATATCAAGGAACAGTCACATTTGGGTTCTTGGTGATTTTGATATTCCAAAATATCATATGATTGGTCAGAAAACGCATCAACTTCCAACACACACAACAGCGGTGTCTATTCATATTTTCTTAATCTTAGCAACGACTTCAACCAAGAACAAGTGGTTAAGATTCCCACTAGAATAGATAACATCCTGGACATTTTCCTTCTAAATCAACCATCATTTGTTCATGAAACAAAAACACCTCCAGTTCTTCGTTCCTTGGATCACGACATTGTTTTTCAAGAACTTAAAATTATACATGGTAGAAAATCGAAATCTATCCGTCATATATATATATGTACAAAAAAGCAGACGGGGGTCCAATCAATAACGAAAGCTCGTCTCTTGCTAAACAATACACAGTCACCACCAAATTATACTCTGTGGAGCTAAAGTGGTCCTATCTGAAAGATAACTTTAATTGAAAATGTCAAAACCATTGATATAAAAGAGCTCAACAGAAAACGGGACAGGCTACATCACAAACTTAAAACACGTAAACTTAGCATCAGACACAACATGCAACAGTACATGAAGTCCCTTAAACACGAAATCCGAAACTAACTTAGAAAACAATATTAGCATTATCTTGAACAAATTGTAGTGACTGACACAGAAAACAAAGACCTACCAAGCAAACAAAGCAAACGTTTGTTTTTGGTCTTTTATAAAAAGCAGGAAAACAGAAAACATTGGAATTTCGATTCTAAACGTTAATGGCATTACCTATACCCAAACTAAGGCCCAAGCGGAAGCTCTAAACAAGCAATTTCAATATGTGTTTACCAAACCATCACCACTAAAGCTTTCCCATCTCTGTGAACAGACATCCAATCTCGCTAAAAGTTCAATGCCAACTATCACATGTACAGCTCTAGGCATTTCCAAACTTCTGGAAAATATCAACCCAAACAACGCTATAGACCCTGACAAGTTCTCGCCAAACGAAATTTCACCCATCATAGCAGACATTTTTAACAGCTCATTCAAACAGGCCATGTCCCTGCAGATTGGAAAACAGCACATATCATTCAATGCTTTAAAGGTGCCAAAAATAACCTACAAAATGTTTGCCCCATATCTCTTGCATGTATACGTAGCAAAGTCTTTGAAAACGCCCTCGGATCAAACATCATGTCGCATCTAGATACTCATAACCTTCTCAACCCTCTCCAGCACGGCTTTCGCTCCAAACACAGTTGTGAATCCCAACTTGTCACCTTCACTACTGACATCTACAATAACCTAGCTGATGGGAAACAAACCGATATAGCCGTTATGGATTTATCCAATGCCTTTGGTAAAGTGGACCACCAAAGACTTATTTTCAAACTTTCTTGTTTCGGCATTAACCCGCAAATGATTAACTGGATTAAACATTTCCTAGATAATCGTAGCCAAAAAGGGCTTATCGAATCGAATGTCTGTCCAGTTCTGTCAGGTGTGCTGAAAGGTTCGGTTCTGGGCCCCTATTTGTTTTGATGTTTATTGATGACGTACCAAATTCAATTAAAAGCCAGGTTCGCCTTTTTGCTGACGACGCCATCTCCTCTGAATCAGACTCACAAACTCTTCAAAAAGACATACATCTACTAAAAATCTGAGAAAAAGAAGTGGTTGATGGACTCCAACACTGATAAATGTGATATTATAACTGTCTTAGGCAAAAGAAACCCTGTCATTCACAAATACCTTCTACACGGAAAAGAACTAAAACACACAAAATCAGCAAAGTATTTAGGCCTAAACATCACATCTGATTTCTCATGTAATTCACATATCACCAGCATCAGAAACAAAGCAGAAAACACGCTCTGATTTATCCGCAGAAATGTAAAAACAGACAATATCAACACAAAAAAATCTTGAACTTGCATATACACAAATATACGCCCGCAACTGGAATACTGCAGTACAATATGGGTCCCATGGCAGAAAACTTGTCAAAATAAGATTGAAACAATTTAGAGAAGAGCTGCTAGGTACGTTCTAAATAATTACAATTACATAGATAGTGTAACCGACATGTAAAAACTTAATTGGCCAACCCTCAAAACATGCTTTACAAAATCATTCACGGCCCGGTACATTCAATCTCGTAAAGTTTACATTATACTAGGTCTGCAGCGTTGAAATATATCTGTGCTGCTTTCCAAAGGAAATAAGCACTGTATTGCGCAAATTCACCGCACACAGTTTTGTTATCAAAATCATGATTGTCTATGGTTCCTTTGAACAGAGCTACTACAAATTCCTCTTCTGCCATTTGAGACAATAGCAGATACGGTTGAACACCATAGTAGTTTATTATTTTATCCATGAAAGTGTCTCTTAAAATGAATGTCACATAACAGTTCTTGACGAAATGCCTGATTACGTCATGGAAGGGTTTCCCGCACTTGCTACATATTTTACTATGTTCTAATGGTGGGCAGGTTATCATTTTGCAAATATTTAATATAACTTTCTTGTCCGTGTTTTATAACGTTAACAAATCATACGGTTCACTTTATGTCAAATGCATATTTTTAAAACGACTAAAATCACAATCACTTATCATCCTTGCTTTCAGTAGTGTGTTTTTGCGTATATCTATCACTGCCTTCACGATGTATTTCCACTCGCGTCGTGCTGGATAGTTTCCATCTTCGGCATATTGACATATATACGATGTTAATTTGTATTTTTGAAGAATGTCAACTATATCTGGCAAATCAAATCAACAATTGTTTCTATGTTGTATTCAGCCTGTGAAACTGAATTATTTAAACATATTAAATTACCCCAGATACCAGCAGTGCCCCTTTCTCGGCTGGATGTATGTATGGCGTTTGTTGTACGCGGTTGCACTTACCGAATTCGCTTTCAGATATATCTGTGATGTGAAATCCTCATACATCAAGAAAATGTATTGACCAAGTCAGTCGTATATAGCCTCCTTGTCTTTAAATCAACGACACTGCGCGTGCCACATAACCAATAGGGACGGCTTAGTAAAGGTGATCTCTACTGCATGATAAACGTTACTATATCAATTTTCAGATCGGGAACTTTTCTTTCCTTTTGAGAGTAACCTCTCAGCTTCTCTCACATACGGTGTTTATATGTCGCAGTTCATGCAATATTCAACAAAGGCTTGCTCGATTTCCGTATGTCGAATGGTGACGGACATATTGTCAACGGAGGGCAGTTTAGGAAATCAGGTGAATCAATACAATAGGCAATGGTCGCTATCATAATCCCATAAGGAAACAATTTATTCCTTATGCCTAATTGCATATGATCATGGCTGTTGGGAGGACGTAAACCAAGATAAAATAAAAACATTAAGCGGTAAGGTTACCGATGCTGATATTAATATGTTAATCAGTGTGCCTTGTGTCGTCCTTGTCATAACCGTGGTTTTCACTTTGAGGATGTGTCATTGCTAGGTCGGAGTTAGAATAGCATGATGGTAGTCGTCGACAAAGCAAAGGAGGACACCAACCCATCCGAAACACTGGTCTTATTACCATTGTCATTTTTCAAAGGGCTTCATGTAAATTGAGTTTGATTTGAGCTTGAAATGCAATTTTGTTCTCCTGGTTTTTTAACAGATGTTTCATATCACGTAATACAACGATACACATATTTTGTAATAATTAATTCCTAGTAATACCTGTTATACTATTGATATGCAAAAGTATGATTAATCGTATTCAAAAATAATAAATACACTTTTATATACTGATTTTTCTCTTTTACAGATATGTTTGACTGTGCGAGCCTGTTTCACTGGATACTGTTTGTATCGCTACCATTCTACCAGCTCGTTGTTGGGGAAGGTACATACAATGCGACCAGACTTTCACAGATACTTGGCACTGTGAACATCCAAAACAATGGGCGGGAACTGGATATGTCGTCTAATTGTTCGAGCGAGGCCCGGTGTTGGTGCGGCGAGTCGAATGACATACAGGTGGCAGACTGCTCCGGACTCAACCTGACAGCCATCCCCGACTTCCTGTCTACGGTGGGCATTGTTGACCTGCGGTACAATCAGCTTGCCGTAGTGAACAACACAGATCAGCTGCCACAAAATCTACTCTACCTCGACCTGTCAAATAACAGACTCGCCAACTTCACAGGCAATCCTTTTGATCATCTGGCCAAGCTCGCCTACTTGGATCTCAGCGACAACTACCTAAGCTATTCACCATCAATATATACACTAGACCTATTTTCTTGTTTAACATCTCTCACGTTTCTTAACATCAAGGGAAATAATGAAAGAAGCGGGTCAGATCTTCTCCATTATCCTGACGCTATTTCCTCCCTACTCGGTTTGACCACACTTAAAATGGACGGACTGAAGAACGCGCGTCTCGGCGATGTGTTGTCACCGCTTAAGAAACTGGCCACACTAGATTTGTCCGGCAGAAATGGTCATTGCTGGATTGACCATATGACGGAAGATTTTTTTGAAGGAGTTGTATCCTCTCTCGTTGATATTGACCTGTCGACATGTAAGATAGTGTACATAGACAATGGGACATTTCGATCCCTACCGAATCTCACGGTTCTGAGCCTGTCCGGGAATAATCAACTTACATTTAATGTTCTCATAAATCTAACGTACGATTTACAAGCCACAAACATACATAAACTCTTCCTGAACAAACTGCATTGTACGTATGGCGTTGGTACATTCCTATTCCAGGAGGATTTGATGCTCCTGAATAACACCCGCCTTGAGGAACTGTACTTGGACTTTAATAGAATCGAGTTGGTCGAGGACACAATGATGCAGTATCTTCCGGACTCGCTCAAACTGCTTTCCGTTGCCGGAAACAAGTTCACGTTGGGTAAATACCTGCTCGCGATGCACTTTTTGGATTCTCTTAAATATTTAGATGTCAGTTTACAATTCAGTCCACACGGGTCTGTTGGGGAAATGTTGGAGCAGTGTTTCGACTGGAGATGTCCAAAGGAAACGAAGAATGAGAGCCAGGAACCCAGATCATTGAAGTTTTATGGTAAATGGCGGCCTAGTTTATATTTGCCTCGAAACTTAGAGGTTATTGATGGCCATAGCAGCTCCTTCCGAGGTGAAATTGGAGACTTTAATTTCATGGAACGGAATATAATAAAGCAGTTTGATTTACACGACAACCTTTTGCAGTCTTGGAAAGGCCCCATTCGTAATTTGCACCGTGTTGAGTACATCGACCTATCATATAACTCGTGTGGACACGTGACCACTCACTTCTTTGAGGATTTCCCAAATATGACGACCCTTAACGTCAGTCACAATAATTTGGGAGAAGTTTTTAAAAACAGTGCTACTAGCGATATTTTAAAACAATTGAAAAGTCTCGAAAAACTTAATATGACTCACAACAAGATAGACCGCCTACCCGAGGGAGTCCTCCGCGATCTCAGCGCTTTACGACAAATCGATCTCAGTTTCAATCAATTAACCGACTGGAACGTCAAAATCGATCACATGTATCAGTTGCAGCTCTTAAATATTTCTTACAATCGTTTGATTGTTCTTTCAAAATCCTTTATGGATGCTGTAGATCGCATGACTAAGATAACTAACCTTACACTGGACTTGCGGGGAAACCCTCTTCGCTGTGATTGCAATAAACTCGATTTCCTCAAGTGGGTTAGCAGACGAAAAAGCCTTTTCATCAATATTGAAACGTATGATTGTAGAATTACAAACGAAACCCAAATATCATTTGGTGATTTAGGAAACATTATAGCTAGACTCGAGAGGGATTGTAGTGATTATGTTGGTATCATAGTGGGCACGCTAGTGGTCATAGTGATCTGTGTGTCGGTCGTTATCGGGGGTGTGGGGTATAGATTTCGGTGGAAGCTTCGCTACCTCTACTACATGGCTAAGAACCGTTACAGAGGTTACGTAGTTGTAAGGGACACGCTAGATTCTCACTACAATTACGACGCGTTCATATCATACTCGGATTCAAATAGTTCTTTCGTAATACATGATATTGTGGAGAACCTCGAGACCAACCATGGTTTACGCCTCTGTCTCCACCAGAGAGATTTCCTCCCGGGAAACGAGATCGCCGTAAATATCACAAACGCCATCAGCAACAGTCGCAAAACAGTTGCAATCATCACCAACAGTTATCTCGATTCTTATTGGTGCATGTTCGAGTTCAACATGGCGCGAATGGAGAGCGTGTACACGCGTGCCGAAGAGAACGTGCTGTTTCTGATTCTGTATGAAAAACTCCCCCGCCGACAGATTCCAATGGACGTCCTTGACGTCATCGAATCAGACTCATACATAGAGTACCCGGATGATGAGCAAGGTAATGTGGTATTCTGGGATAAAATCCGTGAAGCCATATCTGGCTAGAAACCGTAAAATGTGCACTAGATTGCAGACGTACACAAGATGTAGTAAAGTGTTTCTATTCAACATTATTTAAGCATTGAATTACTTTCAGTTTGCATTCATAGGAAATATAAAAGCCAACTGGTCAAAGCAAAATTCAATGAAGCGTGCTTATAGAATCAGGTGAATATGTTGTTATATGGACCCGAGAAAGCAAAAATGATTTAGATGATTTTTTACATTTAAGTTGATTAACCAAGACGGAACATAAGACAATCCACAAGAGAAAACTACTACATTTTGCACCGATCATTGTAACGTTCAATTGAAGTGTCGTCATCAAAACAATAAAGACCCGTCCGTTGAAGAAGTATTCATGTGTGAATTTTCTACATTATAGCAATGTAAGACATAGCTAGTCGACAGGATATACTGCTGATTACAGACGGACACACGTATCAACAGGATAAACTGCTGATTACAGACGGACACAAGTATCAACAGGATATACTGCTGATTACAGACCGACACAAGTATTAACATGATATACTGCTGATTACAGACGGACACAAGTATCAACAGTATGTACTGCTGATTACAGACGGACACAAGTATCAACAGTATATACTGCTGATTACAGACGGACACACGTATCAACAGTATATACTGCTGATTACAGACGGACAGAGGTATCAACAGGATATACTGCTGATTACAGACGGACACAAGTATCAACAGGATATACTGCTGATTACAGACGGACACACGTATCAACAGGAGAAACTGCTGATTACAGACGGACACAAGTATCAACAGGATATACTGCTGATTACAGACGGACACCTGTATCAACAGGATATACTGCTGATTACAGACCGACACAAGTATCAACAGGATATACTGCTGATTACAGACGGACACAAATATCAACAGTATATAGTGCTGATTACAGACGGGCACAAGTATCAACAGGATAAACTGCTGATTACAGACGGGCACAAGTATCAACAGGATACACTGCTGATTACAGACGGTCACACGTATCAACAGGTTATACTGCTGATTACATACCGACACAAGTATCAAAAGTATATACTGCTAATTACAGACGGACACAAGCATCAACAGGATATACCGCTGATTACAGACGGCCAGAAGCATCAACAGTATATACTGCGGATTACAGACCGACACAAGTAGCAACAGTATATACTGATGATTACAGACGGACACAAGTCTCAACAGTATATACTGGTGATTACAGACGGACACAAATATCAAAAGTATATACTGCTAATTACAGACGGACACAAATATGAACAATATATACTGCTGATTAAAGACGGACACGAGTATCAAAAGTATATACTGCTAATTACAGACGGACACAAATATCAAAAGTATATACTGCTAATTACAGACGGACACGAGTATCAACAGTATATCCTGCTGATTACAGACCGACACAAGAATAAACAGGATATACTTCTGATTACAGACGGACATAGGTATCTTCAGGATATACTGCTGATAACAGACGGACACGAGGATCAACAGGATATACCGCTGATTACAGACGGGCACAAGTATCAACAGCATATACTGCTGATTAAAGACGGACACGAGTATCAAAAGTATATACTGCTAATTACAGACGGACACAAATATCAAAAGTATATACTGCTAATTACAGACGGACACCTGTATCAACAGGATAAACTGCTGATTACAGAGCGACACAAGTATCAAAAGTATATACTGCTAATTACAGACGGACACCTGTATCAACCGGATATACTGCTGATTACATACCGACACAAGTATCAAAAGTATATACTGCTAATTACAGACGGACACAAATATGAACAATATATACTGCTGATTAAAGACGGACACGAGTATCAAAAGTATATACTGCTAATTACAGACGGACACAAGCATCAACAGGATAAACTGCTGATTACAGAGCGACACAAGTATCAAAAGTATATACTGCTGATTTCAGACGGACACAAGTCTCAACAGTATATACTGGTGATTACAGACGGACATGGGTATCTACATGATATCCTGCTGATTACAGACCGACACAAGTAGCAACAGTATATACTGGTGATTACAGACGGACAGAGGTATCAACAGGATATACCGCTGATTACAGACGGGCACAAGTATCAACAGCATATACTGCTGATTATAGACGGTCACAAGTATCAACAGGATACACTGCTGATTACAGAGCGACACAAGTATCAAAAGTATATACTGCTAATTACAGACGGACACGAGTATCAAAAGTATATACTGCTAATTACAGACGGACACAAATATCAAAAGTATATACTGCTAATTACAGACGGACACAAGAATCACCAGGATATACTGCTGATTATAGACGGTCACAAGTATCAACAGGATATACTACTGATTACAGACGGACACAAATATCAAAAGTATATACTGCTAATTACAGACGCACACAAGAATCAACAGGATATACTGCGGATTACAGACCGACACAAGTAGCAACAGTATATACTGATGATTACAGACGGACACCTGTATCAACCGGATATACTGCTGATAACAGACGGACACGAGGATCAACAGGATATACCGCTGATTACAGACCGACACAAGTATCAAAAGTATATACTGCTAATTACAGACGGACACAAATATCAAAAGTATATACTGCTAATTACAGACGGACACAAATATCAAAAGTATATACTGCTAATTACAGACGGACACAAGCATCAACAGGATAAACTGCTGATAACCGACGGACACAGGTATCAACAGTATATGCTGCTGGTTACAGACGGACACGAGGATCAACAGGATATACTACTGATTACAGACGGACACCTGTATCAACCGGATATACTGCTGATTATAGACGGTCACAAGTATCAACAGGATATACCGCTGATTACAGACGGACAGAAGTATAAACAGTATATACTGCTGCTTACAGACGCACACAAGTATAAACAGGATATACTTCTGATTACAGACGGACAGAGGTATCAACAGGATATACTGCTGATTACAGACGGACACGAGTATCTACGGGTGGTTAGACAGTAGTACATATTGGTGGCACGTTTGTGTAGTGTAAATATTTTTTAATCTGGTCCCTGGCTAATATGTATACAGTACTTTTGGTTTCTTTATTTAATAAAGAAATATGTTTTTACATTTCTAATACTTGGTCATAGTTATTATAATATGCATAATAATAAACTAATTCTTCCACTTAATTCGCCACTGTCATATTGGTCATTTAATGAATCTGGAGACACTGTTGCTATTACTGAAGTTTGGTCGACTCATTTCGAGAGAGAGAAAATTAAAAATAAAGAACAAGAACTTTTTGACAGATACTTTCTGAGTAATCGTCACCAGTCAGCTAACCAAAAGGGGCTGTGTAATCTCCTGACTTCCTTTAATTCACAAGAATGTGTTTTATATAATACAGAAAGAGGTAGTGATATACATGTCGCCTTCTTAGATGGTAATACGGCATTTGATACAGTATGGCATAAAGGATTGCTCTTAAAATTGTATTAAATTGGATTAGCCTCGGAAAAGTTGGTCAAATTTAAGACACATGCACTGGTGTAAAAAGTTGAATTTTATCTAATTGTTTACAATCAAGATGGGTAAGCATGGAGGGAGGAATCTTACAAGGCAGTGCTCTCACAGCATTTTTTTTATCTTGTGTTTATTAACGAACTATTAAACAATACAGCGACATGTGGAAAAGGTGCAATAATAGCAAATATAAGATTAAACATTACAACACAAGTTGACGATATTTGTATAGATAAATTTGGAAGTTATGTTGAACATATGTGAAAAATGTAGTAAATGTGCAGACTTTCTTTCTCATCTCCCAAAAGTAAAATTCTTACCTTTTCGAAAAACAAAAATAGCACAACTACGAGAAACCTGAACCTCTATGATTATCCTGTCTTGAAGCAAATTAAATGGGACTCTGTTCCGTTTACTTTAAATATGTTTATTCAGCAATGAACACGGTCTGAAAAGACACACAAAGTAGTGGTAAATTGCACAATGATAATTAGCATGAATTACGTATAGAAACTAATCATAACATACAATCCTCTATCTCCCCCAAGTCTTTGGTACACGTAAGTAATAGGGTCACTCGTATTAGTCCTAGGAACAAAGACTGATGTGAAATATGAGAATTATTAAGAAATGTCCGACTAATTGTCCTAAAATAAACAAAATGAAGCACTGAGTCTCCGTGAAAAGTTGCACAACAGATATAACACTTAGGAAATGTTCCAAGTAGAAACAAGTCAATTGTTATTTGGACATTTTATAATCTGAATGCCAAGCTGGTTTCTTTGTGGCACGACCAGAAGTCCGGATCGGTGCAGGGGACGGAACTACTGCTTGTGGCGTATGTGTCGAGATAGGTGGCATCGTTGCCGGGGGTGTGGTGATTTTGCTCACTGGGGTTGCAGGAGAATCAAACGCTAGATGACGTCGACTGAAGATGTCTCGAATACCAAATGGTGGTGAAGGGTGATCAACATCAGATGATGAACGAGGCGAACGTTGTATGGTTCTAGTAGTCAACGGAGTGGATGGTGGAGGACTCGTATCCTTACGGGGAGGGTTGCTCTCTTCACCGACGACGGTGTCTGGGGCGTTAGAAGCAGGAGACGTCGTACGATGGGAGAGTCCAATTTGATTGTCAATTGTGTAGCGCGCTGGTGGTGTAACGACTGGGATATACTTCCTGAGGAATTTCCTGTTGCGTAAGGTAACACGGCCAGATCCGTCAACCCGAACTACATATTGATCAAACTGGCGAACTTCGGTAATGATTCCAGTCTTGTCCCATTTAAGGGGGTGAGGACCAACTTGATTTTGGATGCGTACATGATCTCCAACTGCAAGAGGTAAGAGACGTTTGGTGTGTTCAGACCAACGTTCACTTTCTCGCACGTGACGATTCCGTAAAGCCTCCAGCCAAGTGTTGTGTGGAATGTACCGACCGGGTGGTATAGGAATAAAGTCTCGTATAGGACGACCGAACACGCACATAGCAGGGGATAGTTTTGTGTCTCTGTCAGGTGTGTTACGATACTGGAGAATAGCGCGTTGGAATGCGTCGGTGTTTAAGTCGCCATTGGGACTGGTGTTGCCAGTGATCAGACGCCTCACTGTTTTGACTCCCACTTCAGCACGGCAGTTACTATGGGGAAAAGCTACAGATGACAGTCTATGGTGAACGCCCCAGTTCCTGAGAAATCGACGTTTGGCCGCAGAAGTGAACTCGGGTCCACCATCTGATGCTAGTTCATCAGGGATACCAAAAGTAACAAATGTCCTTCGGAGACAGTCTATTAAACCATTGGAACCATCAGAGGCTTTCTCCATCAGCGGCCAGTTGGAATAAAGATCAACTACCCCTAGGTAATTACAGCCCATGTAGTGTAAGAAATCTGCACACACGCATTGGAATGGATAGTCAGGAGTTATCAAAGGAGTCGCATTCGGGTTAGATGGAGCAATACGGTGGCAGTGGTTACAAGTTGCGCGTAGGGAGGCGATGGCAGGCGTGATACCAGACCAGAAGATTGACGCGTCAGCTCTTGAAGTCATAGATGTCACCCCTTGATGTGCCGAATGCAGGGAGGCAAGGGTTTCTTCCCGGAGTGATGGTGGAATGACTATTCTGTCTTTATAAAGTACTACACCATCAACCGTATGAAGGTCGTCGCGGAATGGGAAATATTCTTGCAGTGGCCTAGGCAGCTCGTGACGGGTTCCCGGTATACCGGCCTCTATCAGAGCGATTAACGCCTGCATGTTGTCATCGCTGGTAGTAGTGGTTCTAACGCGCTCCCAGGTGACGGATCGTAAATTGATCGCATCTAGTGTTGAAGAAGCTGATGCCACGACATGCTCCTCGACAAATGCTAGTCCTGATGAAGGCATGCGTAGACCACTCATTAGACCAAAGTGGGCGATGTCGACGGCAGAAAATGACAGTGCTGCAATGTCGTCCTCGAGCACAAGTTTCTCAGGCTCACCAATAGGATGTCGGGAGATACAATCCGCAGCACGATGTCGTATGCCAGGCACATGAAGCATTCGAAAGCGGTATCGTAGTGTTTTCTCCTTGAGGTTACGAAGTCTGTTGTTAGGAATGTTTTCCAGTGATCTATCGCCAAATAACTTCAACAATGGCTTATGATCAACAGCTATGATCACGTTGTCGCACCCAAGAACGAAGTAGCGAGCTGTATCAAGGGCATCTGCTACTGCCAGGGCCTCGCCCTCAACCGGCGCGTAACGCGTCTCTGCCGCATGTGTGAACCGACTACCTACGAGTGTAACTTTCCAACCATCACGGCAGCATAGTAGGCTTTCATTAGCACAAGCGCAGTGTTTTTGTAGCAACCAAAATCCAATGCCAGTCTTTGACCAGTCTGTCGCGAGACACGTCAATTTACTTGGGTCGAAAATCCGTACACCCTGCTCAATCTCGTTGGCAATGACAATTTTAGATTCCTCAAAAAGTCGTTGGAGATCTTCAGTCTACTGAAACGGTTGATCTGGTTTGAGCAACTNCGAACTTCGGTAATGATTCCAGTCTTGTCCCATTTAAGGGGGTGAGGACCAACTTGATTTTGGATGCGTACATGATCTCCAACTGCAAGAGGTGAGAGGCGTTTGGTGTGTTCAGACCAACGTTCACTTTCTCGCATGTGACGATTCCGTAAAGCCTCCTCGCGAGCTGCTAAAGTCTCCAGCCAAGTGTTGTGTGGAATGTACCGACCGGGTGGTATAGGAATAAAGTCTCGTATAGGACGACCGAACACGCACATAGCAGGGGATAGTTTTGTGTCTCTGTCAGGTGTGTTACGATACTGGAGAATAGCGCGTTGGAATGCGTCGGTGTTTAAGTCGCCATTGGGACTGGTGTTGCCAGTGATCAGACGCTTCACTGTTTTGACTCCCACTTCAGCACGGCAGTTACTATGGGGAAAAGCTACAGATGACAGTCTATGGTGAACGCCCCAGTTCCTGAGAAAACGACGTGTGGCCGCAGAAGTGAACTCGGGTCCACCATCTGATGCTAGTTCATCAGGGATACCAAAAGTAACAAATGTCCTTCGGAGACAGTCTATTAAACCATTGGAACCATCAGAGGCTTTCTCCACCACCGGCCAGTTGGAATAACGATCAACTACCACTAGGTAATTACAGCCCATGTAGTGGAAGAAATCTGCACACACGCATTGGAATGGATAGTCAGGAGTTATCAAAGGAGTCGGTGGTGCATTCGGGTTAGATGGAGCAATACGGTTGCAGTGGTTACAAGTTGCGCGTAGGGAGGCGATGGCAGGCGTGATACCAGGCCAGAAGATTGACGCGTCAGCTCTTGAAGTCATAGATGTCACCCCTTGATGTGCCGAATGCAGGGAGGCAAGGGTTTCTTCCCGGAGTGATGGTGGAATGACTATTCTGTCTTTATAAAGTACTACACCATCAACCGTATGAAGGTCGTCGCGGAATGGGAAATATTCTTGCAGTGGCCTAGGCAGCTCGTGACGGGTTCCCGGTATACCGGCCTCTATCAGAGCGATTAACGCCTGCATGTTGTCATCGCTGGTAGTAGTGGTTCTAACGCGCTCCCAGGTGACGGATCGTAAATTGATCGCATCTAGTGTTGAAGAAGCTGATGCCACGACATGCTCCTCGACAAATGCTAGTCCTGATGAAGGCATGCGTAGACCACTCATTAGACCAAAGTGGGCGATGTCGACGGCAGAAAATGACAGTGCTGCAATGTCGTCCTCGAGCACAAGTTTCTCAGGCTCACCAATAGGATGTCGGGAGATACAATCCGCCGCACGATGTCGTATGCCAGGCATATGAAGCATTCGAAAGCGGTATCGTAGTGTTTTCTCCTTGAGGTTACGAAGTCTGTTGTTAGGAATGTTTTCCAGTGATCTATCGCCAAATAACTTCAACAATGGCTTATGATCAACAGCTATGATCACGTTGTCGCACCCAAGAACGAAGTAGCGAGCTGTATCAAGGGCATCTGCTACTGCCAGGGCCTCGCCCTCAACCGGCGCGTAACGCGTCTCTGCCGCATGTGTGAACCGACTACCTACGAGTGTAACTTTCCAACCATCACGGCAGCATAGTAGGCTTTCATTAGCACAAGCGCAGTGTTTTTGTAGCAACCAAAATCCAATGCCAGTCTTTGACCAGTCTGTCGCGAGACACGTCAATTTACTTGGGTCGAAAATCCGTACCCCCTGCTCAATCTCGTTGGCAATGACAATTTTAGATTCCTCAAAAAGTCGTTGGAGATCTTCAGTCTACTGAAACGGTTGATCTGGTTTGAGCAACTGACGGAAAGGAAGCGTATTCTCAGTCATACTGAAGGCATACGACACCTGATTGACTAGTCCCAGCCATGACCGCACATCTGTGATGTTCCTGGGTGTCGGAAAATCCAGGATGGCGCGTAGGTATTTCTGTGAAGGCCGTACACTATCGTTGGTTATTTCAAACCCAGCGAATTCGAGTGTGTCCTCTGCAAATACAAATTTGTCAGGGTTCAGCGTTATACCGTTATACCGCCTGGTGTATCCGTCGCCCCATGCAATGTAGCCTTTGGGTGCAGTTTTGTAACGGTACCTCCCCCAAGGAGTAAAGAACGTGGTCAAGTGTCTGTCCTCTTTGCAGATGGGTACACTGTGATAACCGTTCCATGCATCAAATAATGTCTTCTTCTTTCCATGTGGAATAGACCGGGCTTGGTGGAATGGCGAAGGGGTGTGATGAGTCTCGCGAGTGGCATGTGCATATAAGGGTTGGAAGTCAACAGTGCGCCGAGGTGTACCATTTTTTTCGCACAAATAACCATTCTATGGCACCAAGTGACAGGCTCACCAACCGGAACAGGTTCAATAACCCCCCAAAAGAACATTCCGGTCTAGTCCAGCCTTTACTGCACCCTGCCAGTGGATTGGAACGGGTACTGGTGTATGGTGAGCGACAGGTTTCGCGTTGGAGTCCACCATGAGCTTCAAGGGAGGTCCATTCATGAGTGGTAAAGTCTGGTGTTCACATCTGTTGAATGTGCTAGACTTGTAGTGGTCAAGAAGGTAACCTTTTAAGTGACCAACGTTTTCCGTCGTAGCAGGGCAAGGCAGTTTTATCGGAGGTGGTGGTGGCAGTTGGCGTGTAGGACAATCGCATGCTTTGACTTGGTGATCCGGTAAGGAGAAAGTAGCATCGACATGTATGCTAGCTGAAGGGACTTGAGCTCCGACGGTTGGAAATGAATCGTGGATAATACCTAATGCAGCGCAGGCTTCGCGACTGAGGAAGAGCTTGTCTGTTGAGCTTGTGACATATGTCATCTGTCTGGTCTCCTTGGTGTTTCCTGCCTTGTCTTTACCAATCAAGCGAAGGATGGTCGCCCCAAGAATTTTGATACCACCGTATGTAGCCGTGTGCATCTGCATCGTTACAGGTATGAGTTCTGATTCTCGTAGACCAAGGCGGCGGATTACTTTCAAGCCAGCGAGGCAACTCTGACATCCCGTGTCAGCCATAGCCTGTATTGAGACGTTGCTGGTGTCTCGTGTTAGTCTGAAGCCTAGGGCGGCGTAGTCCTCAGCAGTAACTTTAGCCGTCACGTTCACGAATGGTTGAGGCTTGGAGCGTTGTTTCACCCAGGAATTCGTCAGTTCGTCATAGACATGGTGGTCGATGCAGATTGAGCGTTCGATGCCAGAATCACTAACGGTACAGTGGTGATGTTGTAGAGAATCATGAACAGAGCACAATGCGTCGAACAAAGCACTTCCGGAAAGTGTATCACGGTCTGTCACTTTGGGTTTGTCCTTGCTTCTACATACAATTTCAAAATGATGTTCGCGATGGCAATGCCCACATATGTGTCCATATGCTGTACACTCTGTTTTACGTATGCGAGCAAGGGCAGACTTGCCGTGTCCCTTTTTTCCGCAATATGCACATTGCTCTGCTTTGTTGGAGGTGTCTTTGGACGACGGTCTGTCAGCCTTGCTTTTCCGGTATGAGCTGCTGGCAGCCTCAACTGGATGAGAATCTGAAAGTCTAGAAGCTGAACGTTTACCGGCTTCCTTTGATTCGACAAATTGAAATACATCCTCAAGATTCATGTCCTGATTTTTGTGTCCTAGCAGATCAAGTTGTATTTCCGGATCGGCAATTCCCCGGGTGAGTACGTCACGCATGATAGCGTCAGTGTAATTGACGTCGGCTGTACATCCGGGGCACTTAATCACAAACTTGCATATACCGGCCTGTCCTTTAAGTCTAGCACCGTAACTCCGGACAGTTTCATCACGATCCTGTCGCATATTGTGTAGCGTCACTCTTGCAACCATAGTGTTTTCCTCACGTACCGCGAGCTTTTTAATTGCAGCTAAAACCTCATCCATGGTTTTGTCAGCGAGACTACCACCGGCTGATCGTGTCAAGTCTTTCCGTAATGGCTCGTCACAGCATTCTAGTAGCTGGATTACTTAATCGCGTCCAGTGATTTTCGTGGCACTGACATAGTCCGACCATCGAGATTGGAAATATGCCCACTCCTCGCTAGATCCTGCGGCACTGAGCGTGGGTCGCTTAACTTTCTCAACTTTAGCAGCGTGTTCTCGTTTGGGTATGTGTACAGCGGAGTGAGCAGTGATGAGTGCCGCGACGATAGTGGCATCCAGGTCATCCGTGACATAGTCGCAGTCTCCGATAGGGCAGGCTACAGCTGGCATTGTGGTGATGTGACAATGATGGAGTTCAGTATTCACACCGTGTTTATAAATGGGACTCTGTTCCGATTACTTTAAATATGTTTATTCAGCAATGAACACGGTTTGAAAAGACACACAAAGTAGTGGTAAATTGCACAATGATAATTAGCATGAATTACGTATAGAAACTAATCATAACATACAATCCTCTACAAATGAAAAGTGGAGCTACGTGTCTAATACACAATGGAGCGCACCGCAATCAATTCTCTAACAGTATGTCAGGTTTTTTAAGCTAAAGTCTATGCATCAGCATTATACGGATGTGAACTATGGCAATTATCAAAACCAGGGATTTTAATGCTAGATAGAGCGCAAAAGTTTATCATTAAAGCTATATAAGAGTTTGAAATAAGAACAAGGACAGGTATGTGTACAAGCCTAATAAGATAGGCAAGTGTAGTAGGACGAGGAATAGTTATACAGATAGTGCCGTGTTCGCTGGGGCTCGAACCCGCGACCCTTAATTGGTTCTCGAGCCCGATGCTTTACCGCTGCGTTAAAAGGAAGGAAATTCCATACAGCTGACGCTTGTTTACAAGGCAACCTCATGAATGCACATCTATTACGCTATTCCCCCTTTTTTCAATCACCAACCCAGGTTCTGTGACTCCCCACCAAGGGGTTCTCCTACCTTGAACGAGGAGGGTCAACGGCACCAGTTTGTAGTAGGACGAGGAATAGTCATAAAGATAGTGCCGTTCGCTGGGGCTCGAACCTGCGATTCAGCACGATTAAGCTCTAAATACGCACAGACATACTTTTACTACGATGTCGAAAATTCTCCTACCAAATCGAATCAAAACATGTGACTTCATCCAGCAGGGAGGCTTGTACATACGGGGACTTAAAAAGAAAGCTTACGATTTTTTTTATTTTTTTTGTTTGTTTTGTTTTTGGAAAATAGGAGTTGATATACTTATTTCTATTAGGTTCAAGATATGGATAAATTAAGATGATATCCATCATTGTATAGTTATTGTGGGGACAGATATTACTTGTATTTGGATGGTATTAATTAACTTGCAAACAACAACAAAGCTTACATTCTTATTTTATATTCCTGGACGTTCCAGTTTGCCAGTGTTGAAAATAAGTCATTTTGGCCAACACTTCAAAATCGCAAAAATATATCATGCAATACATTATCATTATCGGCCTATAATAGCATTTTAAAAAGATAAAGTGAATGAAGGAAAACTTTTAAGTCCCTGTCGAATTACAGATGTGCCGTTCCTCACTCGACCCCAAATGACCACGCTCAATCATTCTTCCCTCGGACTATTCGTCTGTGCGCGGTTTAGATTAATCACCTAGTTCTGTGGTCAGTGGAACAATTTGCCACCCGGCATTGTACTGAATCCTGATGTGAAACCTTTCAAATAGGTTCTCGCATACATACATTTACCGTCACATTTTTTGTCTTTAATTACCAAATTTAATATGCGCACGCACATTTTATAGGCGAAAAAGTTGTGACGGTAAATGTATGTATGTTTTTTACCAAAAAAAATGGTAATTGCTACTGTATGCAAAGAAGGTCTACACTGCTCCATGCGGCTGTTCCGTCTTTCTGAGACTCATCGCTGATGCTGAGGACAAAAAGGTGGAACTCCAAACTGGTCTTAACAACGTTAACTGTTGCAACAGAAAGGGAGGGGCATACTGTCCCTTAATCAAGAGGAGTTCTTGTTAATTTCATATTAATAATGATTAAAATGTGTATATAATGATCCTATACTATAAAACCAATTAATGAAAAAAAGTCTTTTAATCTCATACAATATCGTCAACACACTACGAATAAAATGTGTATATAATGATCATATACTATAAAACCAATCAATGAAAAAAGTCTTTTAAACTCATACAATATCGTCAACACACTACTGGTATTCAAACGCGCCTAACAACACATCTAACACTTTTATTGGAAGTTTTCTATGCCAACTGAGATACATACAACATTTGTAGACTTCTAACTGTTAAAAGTGTTTAAAACCATACACATTTAAGTTGTCACACCATTTTGAAATTTATCACCAGCTCTTGTATTTCTTTATCGCGATTTCATTCACGGTTTAGATGTTTATATCTAAACTACATGTACTGATCATGATTTTATACGTCTTTGGCCTAGATACTAGAATATTCTGCACATGTTGACGTGTTACAGGGGAAGTAACTCGTATTGCATTGCTGGAAATCTTTTGTATTGGAGGGGAAATATAGCAGCAGAAGAAAACGTGAAAAATAGAGAAATATGGCATCAAACAGGAAAAGAGGTTTCCATAAATGGACAATTGATTTTGCTGGTAATCGGTGAGTATCTCATTTCCATTGAAAACCCTATAAACTGAAGACTATTCAATATCTAATTCGACGTAGTATGGTAGTTTGAACACAATCAGGGTCAACCCTCAACATCCTTATGCTAGGCGTTCTTTTCGCATGAAGTGTTGCACTGGTAATCATTTTGCCAAAATAGAAATATATTTTTTTGTAACTTTATCATGCGAAGAAGATGAAAATTGTAACCTGCCCCGAAAATGATACCTGTGACTTTCTTTTGGTAACTTACTAACTTATCATGTGCAGAGTTTTTCCTAGGACCCTCAAATTTCAGTCATTTTAGAGTCCAATGACTCCAAACAGACATGAAATGAAGTCCTTTGTCAGACTAAGGAGTTAAAATGCAGGTTTTTGAGAGTCAGTATAACCCCTGCATGTGATTACTTGTACCCAGTATCGCAGTACCTATGGATACATATGTACAAATGTGAAAATACAACAAAGTTATCTAGACTTAATACCCTATTACTGCACGGTTGCATTGGCCCTCATAGTCATTTATATATGGGGCATACTTCTTCTTTCTGGTAACACATACTGTTTGCAGTAACCAGGTCCAGAATACTTATATTTAATGTCTAGTTATCAACCTAATGATAAAATCTTATTTTAAAAGCGACTTTGTTTCGTTTTCCTTAAAAAAGGAAATCACATGAAAATAGCTCAAAAGACCTATTTCAGATAGGTCAATAGAGCTATTATAGGTCTTTATAGAGTGCAACATTTTATCATTAAATCTATATAAGGGTTTGAAATAAGAACAAGAACAGATGTGTGTACAAGAATAAGATAGACAAATGTAGTAGGACAAGAAAAATTGATACAGATAGTGCCGTCGTTGGGGCTCGAACCCGCAACCATTGGCTCTCCAGCCCGATGCTTTACCGCTGGGCTAAAAGGAAATTGCCTACAGCTGACGCTTGTTTACCATAAATTGTAATGGGATGTCAGAGCATATTGTAAACTCTCATGAAGGAATAGAAACACAACACACTGTATTTACATTATTTACAATGTTTAATTACAACATATATTAAGAACAGAAGTATGTTACATCCACTCTCACATTCACACAGTTAATTACATGTATTTATACAGAAAACATCATATCAATGGGCAGCTATCCATCTTAGTATACAATGTCCTTGAAGCCACCCATCTGCACAGGTGGGCAGATATCCACCTTAGAGTGTGTCCAAGCAACAGGCTGCCCCTCAGCCTAATAACACCATTCCACCACAGAACACCACACATATACCATGTAGGCACCACGTCCGGTCACCACGTCCGGTCACCACAGTATGCATAGTCAGAATACACAGAGTAGATAGGGTCACAACCTTCTTCTTCCCCTAAGTGTTGGTCGGGTCCCTTTCTGTCAGCTACAGCATTCCACCACCACTTAGTTTGGTCATCTTCCCCACTAAAATACCTCTGTATCAATCCTTAAGTGCAGACTGGCATGTCACACTTGTACTGCTCAATCAGCAGAGTGTACTGGATCTGGTAACAACTCTTTTGCTAAAATGGTGTCTATATTAGGTCATGATGCAGATGCATTATCTACATTAAAACCTTGAAGATTCCATATTGTCAGATTTGTTCGCTGTGCCTCCCTTCTTTACCTGATATAAATATAACATAATGTTGTAATCAATCATTAATCACTTCTTTCACATCTTGTTTTCAGGAGATTGGACCGCCAGTTGATGACACAGAGTACAGAGTTAAAACCACCATTGGGATTTAATGACAACCTAATAAGCACTCAGGATAATAGCAGCAAGGACTCTGACCAGAAACTCATTGATAAAGTTAGTTTTGTTTGTCTTGCTGACATCACAAACGAGTTTATTGATAAACACCATAAACAGTTTCCTATGTGATTCTGAATTATTCGTACAGCAGAATTGCAACCTATGATATGTTATATTAGTTTGTAACTCATGAACAGTTTCTTGGTGCACAACCAATAAGTGTTTCTATGTGACGTTTCGATGACTAGTGCAGTATGTCACCTTAATCAGACATATGACAAGTGAAGCGTATGTACACAAAGGTGTATTGTCTGCAAATTGATGTCTATTCGGCTACACTGTAAGTGTGTGTACAAAATGTGTTATATATGTACCGAAATGACTTAATTTCGTTAAGTTTTGTTTAACGCTTGGCCATAGATATGCAAAAGTGACTTTAGTCTATGGGCCCCCTCATCTCGATTTATAACGGGCCCACTGCAGCATATCCAGATGGCTTCCTTTATCTGCTGCTTGAATAGATTGTTCTCTCTGTCCAATACTTTGGAGTTATCCCAGTCAATCACATGATTTTTCTGTGTGGCATGGTCTGTAATTGCCGACTTATTTATATGGAACCCGTCTGCTTCCTTTATTTATTGTGTACCATTTCAATGACAAGTGTGCTGTTTTATTTTTAACCTTCATGGGGAAAAAAAATCAATATTCAATGTAATATATATTTTTCCTACAGACATCAAAAATGATCATTGATAGGTAATTCAGCACCTTGTGATTTGGCTTTCTCACATTTCTATGTGGTTGTCGAGGTATCCATTGATATACCTGGTATAAATTTATTGTTAAGTCTTCTTTACTACTTTCCTTTACAAGTTGGTTGATTAAATTTAACAGGTATAATCTATTCATATATTTATAGCGATCATGGGAGATAGCTTTGGGACCACTGAAGCAGATTCCTATGAACTTTTTCATAATGTGGATGGCTGGAAACACCATCTCCATCTTTCCTATTATGATGGTTGGCATGATGTTCTTCAAACCAATCCAGGCACTCATAGCGATCCAGACCAGTAAGTCTCAGAGTTGTACAATTAAGCTTCTGGGCCCGCTTGTACAAAACATCTCAAAGTTAAGGAAAATCTCAAACAATGTATTGTCTATGGGAAATCTTAGACTTGAGGAAATCTCTAGAGTTAAGATGTTTTATACAAGTGGGCAAAGGTCATGTTACTGTTGAAATGATGGGAAAGAAACCACTTGCTCATCTTGAAATGCATTTATTTTAACCCTTTCACCACCGTAGACCATAATGGAGTCATCCCTTAAAATGCATGGTAGAGTCTACTAAGTTACCTAGGGGTGAAAGGGTTAAAACAGTGTGCCAATTAATAATATATGTCAGCAAAAAGAGTTGCTTCCCCTTCTCATAGGGATTTGTCTGGTGCCTTGTTATATATACTCTGCACCACTAGTAAGTCTCTAAAATGAGTACCTGGTATGTGATTTATCCTTTAGTAACTCTCTTAAGGAAAAAAAATCTTTTGATGTAATTCGTCATTTATTAGTGAATTTATTTCACTCAGGATCATCACACTTTGTATGCTTGTACATCTTTGGAAGGCCACTTAGGCGCTCCTCATACAGAACATGATCATAGTTTTATGTAGTTCTCTATGAATTGATAAAGTCCATTGTTTAGTGGTGGAGGATATCATTGGCAACATGTTAAAGTGTTGTACTTATATTGTGACCTATTATCAGTTATGTCCCGACTCCCCTGGGGATTTGTTCTAAATGTGTGTTATATTTTGATATTTATTGGTCCTTGGAGTTTGTTGTAGATGGGTTTTACTGTAGACAATTAGTTATGTCCCTTGGAGATTAAAACATGGGCTGCTTTTGTTTATATGTTTGAATTAAAGGTTGGACCAAAGTTGTCCTTGTATTACAGTGGAGAAGTGATTATGTCCCTGGGGTTTGCTATAAACATGTTTTACTGTAAAGAACCAGTTGGTTGTGTCCCAACAATATTTTTAATGATTAAATTAATGTTTAACAACTATCTTTAATTATTTTATCCTTTGTTTCCAGCATTTAACGTGATAGAAGGGTCTAAAACAGTGCTACAGAAACTGGTCTATTTAATTGGCAATGTTGTTTGTCTCGGATTGGCTGTATACAAATGTCAAGTGATGGGCCTGTTACCAACGCACTCCTCTGATTGGCTGGCCTTTGTGGAACCTCAACAGGTTAGTTATTGTTTCCTTTTGAAAGGTATTTTTAAGTAACATATAATATTCTTTAAATGATTTAATCTTAATGCAGGATTTAAGGTCATGAGTACATATACACTTGTTCTATTTTATGTAGATATCAAAAAATATTTTAAAATTTATATTATTTCAACTTTATTCATGTGTAGACAGATTGCTGGCAGTATAAGGTACTAAGAACACTTCAAAAATCATTTCCAGCAGTGTTTCTGAATAACACTAAAATAAGACATACATGTATCATAACCAGTTGTGGAAAAGCTCCCTGCTTTATTATCAAGCAGCTGGGAAATAAATCCCTTGTAGTGGAGATGGGTTTTTTCGTGAATGGAATTCATGATGAATACATTTGTATGGTATATAACTCTCTCCTGTACAATCTAGTTATTTGGCAAAAATCTCAAAGTCAGAAAAAAATTGTTGTTCATACAACTCAAAGAGCTTGGAAATAATCAAAACATCCTAAAAGCATAGGTGTCAAATAGTTATTGTTATATATATCCTTATCCATAACTATGTTTTTATAATGGAATTGAAAGATTGATACAAATAGACAGCCTGAGCACTATGGAAAATGTAAAAGAAATGATTTTGTCGCCTGAATTATAACCTAACTTTTGTTTTCCAGAGGATGGAGTGGTCGGGCGGCGGTGTCCTGCTGTGATCTGTGAAGATTCCTGTATTTGTTGTACTGTGTTGACACTTGTTGTATGTACTGTACCAATATCACCTGAATGTGATTCAGCTCCTGACACTGGACACCCCTGTGTGTTAGGAGTGCTAGACAGACATCTACACCTTCCACTTTGATTCAGAAAAAAATCATTGTTATTTATGAAAGTAAACAGAAAAAATGTTATACATACTAGTGTCTACCATTGAAAACTGATTGAAGTCATGATACTCTCCAGTTACTGTCTTGCAGTCTCTGGATTCCTGGCAGAAAAATAATGGAATTGTATACTAATTTGATTTAATAGTCAGCTGAATATTTTAATGTCAATTTTCATTATAATTGCATTCAGACATTAGTTTTTGGACACATTTTTCTCAGATTTTTGATGTGTGAATTCTGAGAAAGAACTATAACATTTGATCAGGGACTTTTTTTTGTATATTTATAATTATGACCAGACTAGCAAAAACAAAAAATGTATTCTGCAAAATAAATAGCAAATCAACGTTCTTACCATGGCTCTTTGTGTCATGGTCACTAGACCTGAAGTATTTAAAAAAATACATCATGCAAAATTGACTAATCAAGCAAATCCACAAAAAAAAAAGTGAAAAAATAGACTTTCACTGCTCCAACTTTTATTCACTTATATTGTATTACAGTAGAATATCCAAATATAGCTTGTAAGCAAATACTTTTTATATATGGAAACAAAGCCAGTAAGACGAGTGATACATGTGAGCTAAAGATTGATGTACTTGTCACCAGTACAGGAATGTATTTGTAATATATCTATGGATTTGTTGATGTACTTTGTACAGTAAACATAGGAGGAAGTTGGTTGCTTATATTGAATGTGCTTTAAACAAAAACATTACTAAGGGCTAACACCCATACACTAACTATTGGTGGTATTTAAAGCAGTCCCTTTATTAATTTCGAATGAGTAATCTTTTGGTTTTGCTAAAAGGAAGCATTTGAAAATATTTATAATACAGTATGAATTAAAGTAGTAAGGAAGTTTATACAGAATGTCATACTTGAGATGTTTTTATAATTTCCTAATCAGAATCTGACGGTGACAATTTATTATCATTGGTGTATGCTGAATGAACATCGTTAGCTCTGGCTCAGAATTATATTTGGATCTACATATTTACAAAACAAATTGAATATAAATTTGTCAGTGTAGATATGTTTCTCAATAAAGTTTCAACTTTATCTTCAATTTTCATCTTTTGTCATCTTTATGAAATATCCAGAGGGGTTTATGGAGTTTCAGACACTCACCTTTCTCACTGTTCAAACCTGTTATGTTTATAAAGGTGCCTAAAATGGAGTGCTATAAACTTTCCTCATTAAAATGACCTTGACCTACTTTCAAGGTTACAGGGGTCAAATATGTTAAACTCTTCAAACAATATCCTAAAAACCATTTGAACTAGTCATAATACTTGGGTATGTTATGTAGACCAGCAGTGCGAGTCTTTTTCTCAATTACAGTAATGAGGTTAAAGGTCAACTTTAAGTGCAAGTAGGGAGTCAAAGGTCAATGTGGGTTAAAAGCTTTAAAATTTAATATTTCAAACAACAATATCTTCAGAACCGTTTAAGAGATGTTAAAATGTTCTAGTTAACAAATTTGCTCTTAAGTTACCTATATGTCAGTTTCATGTTACAAAAGAAACAGGTGAGCGATACAGGCCCTCTGGGCCTCTTGTTTAATAATATCACAAGTCTTGACACTTATTTATAGTATGGTTATTTATATAAAATTCAAAGATTTGACACGTATTGATGAACAATGTGTCACTTCAATGAGTGTCAAAACACTATCTGTACACCTGTACAAGTGCATGCTAATATAGCAAAGGGTAAACATTGACAATATTCACTAACACAGAGTGGATTAAAACAGCAGTTCATTTAGTAAAGAATAATATGACTAAGAGCGAAAACTTACAGTAACATATGCTATAATTTGATTCATTAAATGGCATATTTCATTAATCACAGAAATTTATATCACAGTTTGTTTACCTAAAAATGTTGCACTCAAATTTTAGCACTAAAAGTGTTTAAAAGTCAGACAGCAGAGGTGCCACAGATTGAACAGCTACAGATTGGTCCACTCCAGGTGTGCATCATTCTCCTGAATCCCGGAAAATTGTCTACCTTCAGGAACTCATTTGGGAGAGTGTTCCACAACCTAGTAGCATCAAAAGTAAAAGATTTCTGTCTATACTTAACTGTTCTAACCCTAGGCACCTCTTCTGCATTCTCATGTCTAAGATTATAATTTGTGGACTCAAGTTTTATAAGATCATGGATGACATCAGGAGAAAGTTTGTTCAGAATTTTAAAAACTTCCATATCCTTAAGTCTTCTTACATGTAAACAAATCTGCATTTGACAATATTAATAATTTGGTAAAGAGGAGACATAATCATTGTGGATAAAACAAAAGGCCCTCTCTTGTATCTTTTCAGGTTTCTTAATAATCTTCATACAGGTGAAATGCCAAACTAGAGGGCAGTAATTAAAATTTGAGACAATAAAAGAGTTGTATATCACACTCCTACCTTGTTTTGTAAAAAAAAATATGCCTAGGCACTTCAGAACAACTAGTTGTTGTGAGGCTTTTTGACAAAGTACAGAGATGTGAAATTCAAAATTTAACATGGAGTCAAAATGTTCTCCGATGAGGTTAACTCATTCACCCCTGGTGACACATTTGAACTCTTCCAATTCAAAGGCTAGAATAGTCCATTATAAAATTTCAGGGGTGAATGAGTTAACTACTGCTTTAGGCTCAATGTTTACATTCCCAATATTTAAAGATTTAAAAACCTCAACAGATCTCTCTCCTAAGCATACAGCTTGAATTTTTTCAGGATTTGCCCTCATATTATTTGATTCAAACCATTCCATTAAATATACAAAATCTTTTTCTAGATTTGATTTTTAAAATTTGAGGGTCTCTGTTTGTATCACTTACAGTGTTGTCATCAGGATGACTTTACCTTTAAAAAGACGTCATTTATAAAAAAAAAAAAAAGAAAAAGAAAGAAAGAAGAGGACCCAGTAAAGATCCTTGAGGGTTTCCCTTCAGCACCTCCGACCACGCGCCTCATTTGGAGCCTAGTCTCACCTGCTGTGTCTTGCTGCTCAGGTATATAGCTAGACACCAGGTCTAGAGCGACTGGTCAGACCATAGGTCTCCAGCTTCCGGACCAGCAGGCTGTGAGGAAGATAATCAAACGCCTTGGACAAATCCATCAATATGGCAGCGACATATTCATGGTTGTCCAGAGCCTTACGCCAGTCCTCGACCAGTCGTAGCAGAACAGACTGACATCCAAATCCTGACCGGAAGGCTGACAGGGAGGGATTAAAAATATTACTGAAATATGATGTCAGCTGATCACACATGAATCTGTCAAAAAATTTGGATATGCAAGGTAACCGGTCTTTAATTTTGTTTGTCCCATACATCTTTTATTTTTTTAAACAGGAATGACCTGGGACTCTGTAAGTCTAGCAGAAAAAGTATTTGATGTTGTACAATGGTTTACAAGGTTATAAAGAGTCAAACTTACATTATTACAACATGCTCTAATCAGTTTAGACGATATAACATCGACACCTGTAGCTTTCTTTACATTGATTGCAGTAATACCCTTTTCTATAAAAGCAGTGTAACATGATTAAAATCAAATTTTAAATCAGCTGGAATATGATCTCTGATGTTGTTTAGGATGTCATTCTCCGTTGTCTTCGAATCTCCATCGTCACCAATATCAGAGACCACATTTACGTAAAACTTGTTAAAACATTGCTACCTTCAGTTTGGTCACTTATAATATAATGATCTCATCTTCTTTCAATATAATATTGTTTTCATGGTTTAAAACCTTACTAGATAAAAAGGGGTCCTTGGACTTTGGTCCTTCAGCACATTTTTCCATAAAATATATTCGCATTGATTGCTTTCTAATTTTTGTAACAAGATTCCTCTGTATTCTATAGGATTCCCAATTTGTATTTGTATTAAATTTCTTGTTAGAAAGCATGTGACCTTATGCCGTCGTCCGTCAACTTTTCCCTTTAAAACGCTACTAGTCCTTAACGGCTCAGAGGATTTTGACCAAATTTGGTCTGGAGCATCATTGGCCAAAGGGTTCTCAGTTTTGTATAAACTGAAGGTATGATCCCCCTGGGGGCAGAGGGGCGGGGCCAAATAGGGGGAAAATAGGTAAATCTTTAAAAAGCTTCTCCTTCTCAACCAGTGGAAGGGTTTTGACCATTTTTTTTTCTATAGCATCTTTGGACAAATGAGCCTCAAGTTTGTATACACGGAGGGTGTGACCCCTTTGGGGGTAGAGGGTCGGGCCCAATAGGGGATTTTTTTCTCTCCTACTTTACAAGTGAAGGGATTTAAGCCAAGTGCAGTCTGAAGCATATGGACAAACGGATCAAAATAATATACCAGGTGAGCTATTAAGGCCCATGGGCCTCATGTTTGTGTATAGCCATTCTTAATTTTGTATTAAAATGGACACTTCTTCTTGCTTACTGTCTTTTCTTTGATTGGGGCATGTTCTCTATAACATCTATGAGGAGTTTCTCATGGGTCCAATATATATCATCCACATCATCTAAATCATACGCAGTATGGAATGGAATTTTACTAACGTCTTCACTAAAAAGTTTCTCGTCAAAATGTCTGAAAGTTCTTAACCTGGTTTTATCTTTAGACACAGATAGAGTCTTGCCTTTGAAAACAGTACAGATCATGTTGTGCCAGTCACTAAGACCACAATTAAAAGAAAAGGTGTTAAATAACATGATTTTGACTGTTACTTAAAATGACATAAACTAGAGGCGGGGTACTGTTTTTCATAAAACATGTAGGTGCATGAGGATTGCCGATGGTGAGCGTTAAAGATTTGTGCTTCTCAATCAAATTTGGAAAATCAAGGTCAAAAGTTTCAAATTCACCAATTAAAATCTATCAAACGTCAAGTTTCACTAAACAACGTTCACATAGACATAACGAGAACATTACAAAGGTCGATATTCCGGTATCACCTGGTTTATGAAAACAAGTTCACTTGTACCAAAACTTGTAGAGAGGGATGTAAATACGACGTGCACAAGATGATTTCGAGTGTTCATAAGGGAGGGTTTTTTCCAAATACAGAACACAGTGAGTCTTCGGTGAGCTCTGGTTCTCGTGGACCCCGTTTCACCGATATTTACCCGCTATAGGTGGCCCTGCAGGCGGATATAACGTTTATATGAACCATTCGAGTTAAAATAACACTTTTGTCAACCTTTTTACAACAGAGACGTGCTTTTAATATTTCCACAATGATCGCAAATTACCCCCTGCCATAGAACGTTTTGTTTCCTCGAATAATGTTGCAAACACAACTCGAGATAACTAACAGACGGGCAGACGGCTACGATAAATTGTCCTGTTAACAATACGACACCTACGCAAATATTATTAATAACATTTCATAAGTTAAGAAAAATGGAATAGAAATGAAGTGCGCCTTAGGTCAGTCGGCCAGTGGACAGGGTTATGGCCTCATTGACGGGGTTGTGTGAATTGATGAGTTTGGCGTTGACCGGGTCGTTCAAGGCCGTCAGGTACTCGGGGAGGCGATAATTTGTTACAGTATACTGTAGCTCAGAGTAATGGTAGGCGTTTAACGAGTTTAGATCGATGCCACTGCAATGGTGGTATTTTCCGAGAGTTGATCTAATATGTTGATACACCAACGAACATGACAACGGAAAGGTGTTTTCTAGATAAGGTACTCTTGTGTGTAACCCATTCCCAACCCAGAACACCCAAATCAAATATTTTGTTCTTTGTTCTTTATTAGCCAAAATACCTTAGGCATATAGGTACATTCATATATACATATAACATTCTCTAAACATATTTCTAAACATTTTCTTCAGGTTGGTAAGCATGGATTATGAGTTCTTTTTACACAACCAATAAAATGTTCTATGTGAAGTTTCGATGACTAGTACGGTATGTACACTGTCACCTTCATCAGACAAATGACCAATGAAGCGTATGCACACGAAGGTGTAAAATGTGTACGAGTTGTCCATAAAATTGATGTCGATTTCGGCTACGCTGGAAACGTATGTACAATAGTTGTTATATATGTACCGAAATGACTCAATTCAGCTACGCTTTGTTAA